TAAACCCTGAACCCCAAACCCTAACAAAGAAAGCCTGTTTGAGAGCCTTCATGCTCGACAGCCTGCGCCTCTGCGACTCGAGGGATGAGCTCCTTCCCCAAGGGTCCAAAGGACCCAATAATTAGATACTCAGGTTTCGGGTAGTAGTTCTGTACCTTAAGAGCCCAAAACCTACTTTTTTGTAGGGTCCCTAGAAATCCCATATTAGGGTTTATAATAATTATATGGGGCTTCATATGGTGATTTAAGCTATATATTCCTTCTTCAAGGGGTGTTGGGCTCTCTGGGCAGTTCCCGGAGAGAGCCGCAGAGGCTTCTGAGCGTCTGGGTGAGAGGGGTGGATGGACCGCCGAAGAGTCTTATGGGAACCAGGTGCTTCGAGAGGACCTCTACAACTACTTGGAGGATCTTGGGACTTAGTAAGTAGGGTTATAAGTACCTTAATTGGGGTTATACGGAATTATAAGTATAGCTACCTTACTTATAAGCTCAGTTACTAAGTCCCAGGATCCTTTAAGTACAACTATTACATCCACCTCATGGAGGCGGGGTGGACCCGAGTGGAGGTGGAGCTCTCTGATCCGAATCCCTAGCTTCCCATACAGCAGTTTAGGGTTTGGGATTTAGGGATTTAGGGATTTAGGGTTGAAAAGTTGAGGGGTTTAGGGGTTTAGGGTTTGGGATTTAGGATTTAGGGTTTATAGGGTTTAGGGGTTTAGGGTTTGAGGTTTCTCCAGCTCAGGCTGTCGAACCTGATGAAGCAGCTGGCCGCTCAGCCCCGAAAACACCAAAGATTCGCAATTCAAGTTGAAGTCCTTAGCCTTAAACCCTATAAACCCTCTACTTGGAGGGTCCGGGGAGTTAGTAAGTAGGTAATAATAAGTATACTTATAAGTACCCCAAAGGAGACCGTAATTAGAATTATGATACTTATAAGTCCGAAAATTAACTACTTACCGACCCTCCATGTAAGCCCTTTAAAACCCTAAACCCTATATAATAGGTCCTCAACCCTATAAACCCTAGCTGTAACCCCTGAAACCGAGACCCCAAACCCAAATCCGGCAGCCAAGAGCAGGTACTGCTCCGGTCAGAGCAACATGGCACTTCCTCTCAAGTCGCACGGCTATCGATTTTGCTTGTTTTTTTTTGCGCTGGGACCGCAAGGAGTTCAGTTTAGCAAGCTGCTCAATGAGGAAAGCATGTGCTACTTACCCTCTCTCTCCTATTTTATCCTTCTCTCTCTCTCTCTCTTTCTCTCTCTCCCTATCTCTCTCTCTCTCTCTCTGTTCCCTCTCTCCCAATCTAGGCTTGTGGGTATTGGGGCACAGCAGTTGTTTGCAGTATAACCTTAAGGTACCGAAAAAGAAGCTATCTCGAGGCCTGCAACTTCTTCATTGGATTGCATGTTTGATGTTCCCTGGTTGGTAGCGGTCGTGTCCCTCAACAGCGTCCTTAGAACACTCACACCAATTATCACACCACACCAACACTACACGGAGAAGCACCACAAACCCGGGCCTGACACCCGAAACCGTGAAAACCCAAAAAATCATCCTACACCTTTGGCATCAAGAGACTTGAACAGAGGGCGTCCTGCAACCCTAAACCCTAAACCCTAAACCCCTAAGCCCCTAAACCTTAAACCCTAAATACTGCAAGGACGTAGACTCTCAAGTGCGATAGACTCCCGAAGTCCCAAATGCCGAGAACCCCGAATCCTCAACCCAGATCACCGCCCCCCTTGGAGGGTCTTGGGACTTAGCTGAGGGTTAAGGGTTTAGGGTTAAGGGTTTCGGGTTTAGGGTTTGGGGTTCAGGGTCGAGGGTTTAGGGTTTAGGGTTTAGGGGTCGGGGGACTTAGTAAGTAGGTAATAAGTGGACTTATAAGTACCCTAAAAAGGATCCCAATTGGTGTTATGATACGTATAAGTCTATGAAATAAGTAGTTACTCAGTCCCCCGACCCTCCAAACCCTAAGCCCTAAATCCTAAATCCTAAACCCTAAACCCGAAGCAATTATAAGTATAGTTACCATATCTATGACCTCAGTTACTAAGTCCTATGATCCTTTAAGCAGGTACACCTTGTCGCGCAACCAGAGCGTGGAAGGGATCAAGGCCGTCCTTGCAATTTCAGAGCCAGAAACCCCGAATCCTGGAAGCCTAAATAATTACTTCTAGCATTTTGGGGGCTCCTGATTAACAATATAATATAATATACACCAAAACCCTATTCTTATTTTTGGAGGCCCCCACGTTAAGCCTTGAAGCAGTATAAGTCGGATCCCGAAGTACCCTTTGTGGAAAGGGTCCCGGATTCCTGGTTAGGTTGATGAGGTCTTACGTGTACACCCTAAACCCTAAACCTTTGTTTTAGGCTCGCCTGCTTCATTAAGATCCAGTTTTGGAATCAGATGGTTGCCGAAAGTATGCAACCATATAAAACCTGAAGCCTGAAACCCTATGACACCTCACGCACTAAACCCCCAACCCCTATAAGCCTTCAAGTACCTAACCCCCTAGACCCTAGATCACCTCCAAACCCCGATGACGTTTAAACCCGAATGCCGAAAACCCTGTAGGCCCCAAAACCCAAAGCCCTACTTGGAGGGTTGGGGGACTTAGTAAGTAGTTATTTAATAGACTTATAAGTATCATAACCCCAATTAGAGTCCCTTTTAGGTTACATATAAGTCTACTTATCTTACCTATTCACTAAGCCCCTGAGCCTCCAAGTAGACCCTAGAGCACCTGTCTTGCAGAGGCCAACAAATTCGACATTCGCATCCAGGGCATGAGCGGCAACATGAACCCAACTCAGCCCTGGATGAAGGCACCAGGGTTTAGAGTTTGGGGTTCAGGGTTTAGGGTTTAGGTTTCAGGGTTTAGGGTTCAGGGTTGAGGGTTTAGGTTTAGGGTTTCATTCGGGTTTAGAGTTCAGGGTTCCGCGGTTTTAGGGTTGGTCGGAAGTCAGAGCCTTTGGCTGTAAGTTGGTTTCTGTGAGGGGTCATAAACAGTTTTCGGTGCTACGGATCGCGGGGCTCTTGCTGTTCAGGGTCGGGAATGATTAGAGTTTAGGGTTTAGGGCCTCTAGGGTTTAGGGAGTCATACAGTACAGAACGCCAAGCTAGGCATGCTCAAGCTCGAATCAGTTGCAACCTGCTTGACATTAGGATTTAGGGGTTTAGGGTTTAGGGTTTAGACAAATCGTGCTAAAGTGGCCCCTGGCGGCCGCAGGCAGCGGATGCCATCTCACAGCCCGCTGCTTGCGATGAGGGCGACTGCCTCTTCTTCCGCCCCTCGGCCGTTGCGAAGTAGGCTGAACTTTCAGTTGGTGTCGGTGCGCATACCAGGTTCCTACTGTTGATGGACAAAATTCTGCATGACCCAAATTTAGTATAGTACCATAAATCCCATAGTTTAGGTATATAGGGTCATGCAGGATTTTGTCCATCAACCGTAGTTTACCTACCACAACATGTGGTTCCCGTTTGGCAAGTGCAGGACTGGTAATTTCTGTTTCTTGGCTGACCCTCTGACTATTGGAGACGAAGCTGAGAATATTCTGCACCTGTTCTGGAGTACCATACTTGAATGTTTTTGGTACCTCTTCCTTAAACGAGCCATTATGAAATGAAAGTCTAGTCTGTATTCTCCCTGGTTACTTTTAAGAAGCCTCAAGTTTAAAGAAGTCGTCTACAAAGGAGCTCTTGCTTTCAGGCTACTCTTCCACCTGCTGGTACTTCGCAGAGAGCCTCGTGGAGAAGCTTGGGAAGGCCGCCCTGGCTTTTGCTCGCCGTACATGGGTTGATTCAGTTTTATGGGTTTAGGGTTTAGGGTTGAGACAATGAAGGGGTCTTCCGTTTCGGGGGGTGCCTAGAGGAACGATCTTAACATCTAGGATTCTATATGGGGGTCCCGCGTTTGCTGAAGCTCTTAGATGTGTTTCCTTCTCAAAAAGACTTGCCGTAGGAGCCTGCTGGATCCGATTCTGCCGGCAAAACCCAACAGGAAGTCACTGGGATCACCTGGATGTTGAGCATAAACCCTAAACTCTAAACCCTAAACCGACAGGAAATCACGGGGATTCCTTGGATATTGAGCATCCGGGTGGGGTAAGAAAGACGACTCACGCTGCACAGAAACCCAGAGCTGACCCAAAGTGCTAGTTACCACGACCAAACCCTAAGATCCCCCAAACTTAAGCAACATCAGCCAAGGTGTTTCAAAATGGTATACATCGCACATATGGGTATGCTGCAGTCGGTCTTTGGAATGTTCTTGTACAGCCCTGGTAAAGCTCTACGAAAATCAACATGAAGCCTTAAACCCTAAACCCTAAACCCTAGGTAGAGCGAGTTGCACGCAGGAGGCGTCCCCGATCGGCCTCATCCACACAGCCTGGGGTGGCAGCCGATCGGCCTGCAAGTAACCCAGATTGCCCAAAACCCCCCTACTTAAGAACGGCTCCTGAAATCATTCTGGGGCTTATCATGGGTTTGAACGAGATCTTTGAATTACGGCATGTTCGGCCCCTGGGCAAGAGTGTGAGGGTTTTGGGCAGAACTCTTCGCACCCTTGCAACCCAATGCTGAAGTGAGCATACCTCGTTTACAACTTTACGATCTACTTGTGGTGTTGGGAGGGCTCAGCCTACAGCATCTTGCTTATAAGCGCTTAAATCTACGATCTGAATGCCGAACTGCGAGACCGAAAGGGTGCAGATACTTCCAAGTAGCTCCTCATTCCGTACTTAGCCCTGACACCTAAGCCCCCAATTTTGGAACGTGGCACTCCTGCAGCTTCTATGAGCCCAGTCAGGTATGATCGAGGCATGGCTGGATAACAAAACCATCAGCACCTGCAAGAGACTCGCCTCATCAACGCTTAAGGTTTTCGGGTTTAGAGTGTAAGGTGTTGCTTTATGGCCCCAATCGGATCAAGGTCTTTCTTGTTCATGGATGTTGATACCGTTTCTGATTCAGAGGTGGGTGGGCAACATCCTGCTCTCGTGATATTGAAGAACATGCCACGACTTTCATACATGTCAGGGCACTTCATCTGATGCACGATGTAGTCCATCAGGTCTCAGGGAAGAAGAGTTGCGGGACTAGCATCTTGATCTCCGCGTTCATCCGAGATCTCGTATAAATCCGGCATCAATACCCTCGATAGTTCCAATGAGCATGGGTGAAGCAGCCCAAGTACTGATAGTAGATGCTCTTTCGATATAAGTCCTGGGAGAGGAGGCTTTGCTGTTCAGGGGTCCTAAATCTTTAGTTCTTGAGACTTCGATAGGCCCATTCGGGATCCCTTGTTGCTGGTGCTTTAGCGTTCAGGACGTGTGCAGGGATATCGGCACTTCGGATTGAGGTGTAGTAGCCGCTTACTTAAAGGATCATGGGACTTAGTAACTGGGGTTATAAACAAGGTAACTATACTTATGACCCCAATTAGGGTACTTATAACCCTACTTACTAAGTCCCAAGATCCTCCAAGTAGATTTGGGCCACGAAAATGCTGTTTTGGCCCGCAAGGAACGCGACGCTGACCGCCGGGAATCAGAAGTACCACGATGAGCGCGTCATGCCGCAGCCTGGCATGGACTTCCAAAAGCGTCCTAAGTCTCAGTACCTACAACGCCTCAAACTGCTAGCATAAACCCCTAGTCACTCCGTATCTCTGTTCAAGACGGACTGGCATTAGTCCCCTACAGACTACACAAGGATGGTCAGCCTCCCGTCTTGCTTGCACACCTGAGGTATGTCGGCATGACGCTGAAGGGCTGGATCTGGTACCAGGGCGAGAACGATATGCATGGCAACTCGACCTGTGGCCTTGCATCGGAAGGGTTCCGGGTTTAGGGCCTCGGGCGATCCGTAATATGAATTAGGGTCTTTTCCTTAATTACAGGATTTTGGAAGGTCTGGGTAGCTAGACCACTCAACTATCCTCTGTGCATTGTCAAGAGAGCAACATCGCGAGCCCCAAACTTACCTGGACCCCTAGCTACCATCTGTGTGAAGATAACACTTGTATGCTAACGGGAATGCGAGACCCCTCTACTTAGAGGATCATGGGACTTAGTAATTGAGGCTATAAGTAAGGTAACTATACTTATAACCCCAATTAGGGTACTTGTAACCCTACTTACTAAGTCCCATGATCCTTTAAGTAGAGGATCTAGCAAATACTGAACTCCCAGCACCAAGGGGTCGAAGCACCCAAACAGTTGCCGACATCATGATCATTCAGAAGTAGTCTTCGAGACCTAAACCGGGATATTTGGGAACTTGAAGCGTTTAGGTGACACGACCCTCCTATTCAAACCGAAGCATTCCCAAACCCCAGAGCTTAAAACATGAAGCCGGGAACCCTGCTACCCAAATGGACCTGACGGCCCACCAGGCCAGATGTGCTTTCATGCCTTACAACAAGTCCAGCTTCTGGGTTGAAACTTTCTCCCCGACTAGCTCTGATATCAGGAAGATGACGAGTCCGAAGCCCTAAACCCGAAACCCTTAGGGTTTAGGGTTTAGGGTTTAGGGATCTGAGTCCCCTAAATGGCCCGAGGTACACATGGCAACTCGGAGCTTGGCTACGGCTACGGCTGCCTGATGCCAGCGCTGGTGCGGTCCTGGCGAGCGCTCTGGAGCCCGGTGACGGGTCTCAGAATTTTAGGGATCTTACCCCAAGGGTCCAAGTACCTAATAAATCATATACTCTCCCAAATAGTAGCCTACATAACTACTATCCGAAACCAAAGTACCTAATTATTGGGTCCTTTGGACCCTTAGGGTTAGGGTCGGAGTTGCCGGGTTTTGTAGAGTTTTACCAAGGGGGTCTGACCCCCTGCAAGGGGTTTTTAGCTTGGAGTATATTATAGGGTTTGGGGGTGTCGTTGCGAGGCTGGGAGTTTCGAGTTCAAGCGCTTGCGGGGGTTTAAGTAAGTCACTTAAGCCACGGACATGGCATTTTTCTCAGTTGTGGTAAGTTTGAGGGAGAAGAGGCATCTCGGAAGTAGCTGAACTGCTAGACTTCCCGGCAGCCAGAACTAGCCCTAATGGTCCCGAACACCCCAGCAAATAGCTGGGACGTTCTTAACAACTGCTAGGATGCCAAGCTTAACATGCCTACAATATCTTATAGAGGGACACCTTGACAGACCTTATACTGTAATCTAATCGAGCCCTCCTATGTCGGCAGGAGCGCCGCGGATGGAACTACACAGCCGGACGCGCCGTTCGGTTTCGCAGCTTAGCCGAGAAACGGCCGGTTGAGGCTTCCCACAGTGACGTGAGCAGCTGATATCATCTTCCCTATAAACTTTAAAAGTCCCATGTCTTAGGTGTTTACAACTACATACATAAACTGCCACAAGACTTGTGCCACAAGACCCATGTATGTCTATGCAATAGTAACGAGGCATGTGAGATTGACGGCTGAAGCTCTGCTTTCAGATGCTCTATGTTTCTAGCTCGCACGCGTGCGTGATATCTGCTGCAGCGCTGTGACTGCTAGAGCAGCAAAAGCCTTGAGGCGCAAACCGTGGGAACCCAAACCAGCAAATCTTTGGGTGGAGTTTCATGGGTAGTGCCCCAAACGATAGCCACCAAACAAACGATTTACTCGCCGGAACCGGACCTCGAATCCACAGCTCCCATATTCTGGACTCCGCCTCACACATTCCGCGAAGGTAACCCTGGCCGCCAGTGGCAGCGAGGGTGGCAACAGCATGGGAGCCATGCGATGGGTTACTTTGCAAGGATGAGGGGTTGTTCACACCTGCCCGACAGAAGACTCACAAAGAGGAATGCTCAGCTCAACTTCAACATGTGAATATATGCTGAGCCTGCACCCGGTAGTAAATATTGAGATGGACTGCGACTTCACAAACCCAAGGCCCAACCCGGAAACAGCAACTATCCGAGCGGAGAGTTTGTAGAGTTTTTCCTGTTGGATCGATTTCAGGTCTGATGCTTCTTGAGGCTTCGGCTTAGCGTTTAGGGTCTAGGATTTAGGGTTTCGGGTTAAGGGTTTAGGGTTTAGTATGGAGTTTCTGATTCTGACTCATAGGCTAGGCTGAGGAGTTTAGTTGCCCGAGCACGAATGAGGCGCAGACAGCCAACTACGGCGTGGCACCAAACCCAGCGATGCCGTGCCCTGACGAACGTAAGTCGGCGGGACCATTCAGTGGTTGATTAGGAACCCCAAAAGCACATAGGCATAAGCTTTTTATAGGGATATCCCTACCTTATTGGGCTTCATTATAAGGGGATTTACATGGGATATCCCTATCCTATTTTTTGCTTATGTGCTTTTTTGGGCCCTAATTCTGTGGTTGAGGCTTTTTCCTGAGGCTCATATGAGACGATTCCGATGCTTTCCATGCTATTCAAGTTGTATCGTTGTGCTTTGGTTGACCTTCGCGTTAAGCTGCTTCAAGAACACTGAGGGCTTCGAGTCTTGGAAATACTCGAAAATTCTCGAACCTGTCTCGTTCGAAATGCCCTGCATCACAGACTCCATCCAGCAAAGGAACACGTTCATGGCGCAAGCTTTCGCGACTGGGCTAGACAATACGTAGGTGCGGCATGGGTCTTGTAGATGCCATGTTTCGGGGCGAAATGGGAGGTTGATTTCTCGAGCTCCGACTTCAACAACTTGCATAGTTTAAGTACATGGACGAGAATCTGTCCGGAGCGGTGCGGAGACCTTCACAAGCTGCATTCGGAGCAAAATCGCCGAATCATGGTTGCAGGATACCAGAGTTCAAGAAGGGCAGAGTAGTAATATAAACCCTAAACCCTAAACCCTAAATTATTTGATTGTTCGCGTGCCCCTCGAGCCAGATCCCAGAACTGCACTTTAGTTGGCACTTCCAAGGATTTGGACGATCCCTTCAGCAACATCACGTGCTATCGTGCAGGCCTGATGGCAGTGTGTCCTTCGTCGGTGTTTCGGGATATTGCTCAGTTCTGGTGCCCAACATCTCCTGCAGCAACCGTTGGCTGCGCACCACTTGTTTCGCACATGCCCACATTCAGACTTCTGAAGCGTCTGCTGGCTTTCTACGTCATGCTAGCTTTCAAGGTTGCCGTGCTGAACTTCGAAGCATCAGAACATATCGAATTTCCGTTCCACACTCCAAGATCGACAGCTTCAGTACGTAGATGACAGGCACCGAACTTCGATTAATCAGCACGTCGACACTGAAGTGGCACCTGACGAATCAAGCCTCGGAAATCTACGAAGCGCGACGATCGTAATGCAAGTCCCTGCAGTGGTTTCACAACATACTTCGCTCAGGCACCTTAGCTTGGATCAGCTACGGCATCGAGTTTACAGATTGCGTCGGCTGCAAAACCGGATCCGGCAGCCGCCTACCCACACCTTTGAGGCTTATGGGAAGACATACTTCCTGCCACTGCGTGTGAAAGGTGCCAAGGCCTCTAGCAATGTCCCACCGCGCACGCTAGAGTACTTGGCGGGCTTTTTTGATGGAGACGGTTGCGCTAGGAGTACCACGTCAACAAGCAGCGTTCGACTGGAAATTCAACAGAGCTACATCAATGCAAAAGTACTGCTCTTCTTCCGGAACCTTCTCGGCGGCGGAATCTACATAGGTATGTCAAGAGGTGCAGGATTGTACAGGCCGACTGTCAGGTGGGAGTTGAGCGGAGCTGGTGCTGCACATGCTGCCGCTCTCCTGAGCACAGTATCTTCCTGCAAGCAATCCCAGTTGAAGATTGTAAGTGCTTGGCCACAGTGCCAGCGTGAACGTCGGCAATCCGCTACGAAGCTCCAGCTTCTGAAGAGGCTTCCACCTTCATTGGCGACATGCCCCTCATGGGCATTTCTCGCAGGTTTCTTTGATGCGGAAGGGTGCATTGGAGTGCGGGCGCCCGCCTCGACAGTGTTGCAGATCGCGCAAAAGTATGATCCAGTTCTGCATTCCATCAAGTGCTTCTTGGCAGCTCGCGGTCTCGCCTCTTCCCTGTACAAGGCCCAGTCCGGCTCAATGCTTGTCATTTCGCGGACAGTGGCGTCCCGAGAGATTCTCCGGCAGCTTTTGTCTGCAGGCTTGCGTGTGAAACGGGAGTCTGCCCGAACCGCATTGCGTCTCTCTTCCGACAACTTCCACGAGGTTCGAGAACAACTCCAAGGCTTAGTTGGCAATCAGGCCCGCTACCGGCGACTTACCAGGTCAGGAATTGAACGTGCCGCAGAAATCAGACGCATTCGACGTAGACTTGAGCATGCCAAGGCCAGTGAGAAGCCTGAGATAGGATCGCGGTTAGCGCATTTGCGGCGTGCCCATGAGATGGCATCTGCTCGTGAGAAGTATTTTCAAGTCCGAGCCGATGCCAGAGCTCTCTTGCAGCACATGAAGATTTGAAAGTTGACAGTAACGGAGGAAGGACAGCGGACAGAGACATGCAGGCATGTAATTGCTTCACTACGGGTACGGTCATACAGGGCATGCATATTGGTTGCATTCGATGGGCAGGCTGCTGTGGCGACAACCCCAAGCCCGCCTGCTGGAGCTGCTCCTCGGCTACACTTTTTCTCCTGAATGCATTGCTTTGTTCATGGCACAAGCAGAAGGCATCGAAGGTCTTTGAAGCCTCCCCACATTTTGATCCAACACGTTGTGCTTCGTCGGACTGGTCCCTTCAACAGGGCGAGCAGGCATACACTTGAACTCGAGACGTCACTCCCCCGACAGCATGGGCCAGCAATGTGTCAAGCCCGCGTAGTGTTGCATCCTAGAGCACTTTCTTTATCATGCAGGTCCTAAGCAAAAAATAAAGCCCTGAACGCTTGACTTTGTGAGGTCTTGGACCAAACGGTTACTGTGCCAGTCTCTCTGTGACTTGGCGTGAATGCCGATTCTCAGCATGGCTATGCTGAATACATCTCAACATCATCTCAATACCAACTGCCGATTGAGATCCTGTGATTGCCCAGTCTGTGGCAACATGTCTCAAGCTGTAAGTCGGAAACCAGTTTTGGCAGAGCAGGGCTCGGAGTGGTATCTACTCTGGTGTCAGTTGTATGTTGCAGCCAATGAGCGGAAGGAGTGCAGATGAGCCGCATGACATTGATGAGTCGCAGGATGCTGTGCGAACTGCTGACACCTGATGCGTGCCCGAACTGCTCTTTGGTGCTGCAGGCTGCGAACTACTACATGGGCCCGATCCACCCGCGTGACAAGAAGCCTGTCGGTGAGCGGCTGGCACGAGCAGGCATCATATTCCTGTGCCCCGCTCGTATGCAGAACTGCCTTGGCCGGCGTGTTCCTCTGGATCCGTAGATATTGTAGTCAGGTTTAATCTGAATTAAGTGCCTTCATCCGCTAACTTCAACTTCAATAGCCGCAACTGCGATCCTTGAATCCTAAGCAGTAGTCCTCAGTCATGAAGCCTTACAGCACACACCGAAGCACTGTACTGTGCGACTAAAGCCTTTGTCTCCGAACTCTGAACCTTGCCAATACGATGCAGATACATGGACCGTTAACTAAGCGTGCTCAGAGTAATTTGTGTTTGTCGAATTATAAACTGCAGTTACTTCAGACACCCTGGGTTCAAAACGAGCCCTGGGCGGCTCGGCTTCAACAACCCCAAACCCCGAACCCTAGTCGCTACTGTTGAACAGTTCAGCCCCCTAAACCCCAAACCCTAAGC